GGAGACTGGCACTCAGGGAGGGCAACTTGAGACCCTCTGTGTTAAAATGCAAGGAGAATGTGGTGAAGGGGATATAACTGTAGGAGTCTATTATAGACCTCCTAATCAGGAGGAAGAGCTTGACCACGAATTCTTTAGGGAACTGGCAGAGGCTACACACTTGCGGTGCATGGTTGTCATGAGTGACTTCAACCACCCTGACATCTCATGGGAAGAGCACTCAGCAAATATGATCGGTCACAAAGTTTCCTCATTTGCATTGATGAGCTCTATTTGACTCAAGAAGTCTACAGGCCAACAAGAGGTAAGGCACTGCTGGATCTGGTTCTGGCCAAAGGGGATGATCTAGTGGGTGACCTGAGGATCGAAGGGAAGCTAGGCGACAGTGATCATGAGTTGGTCACTTTCTCTATCTATCGCAAAGCTTGGCAAATCAGTCAGTAATGCAGAAATCCTCTACTTTAAGAAAGCCAACTTTCAGGAGCTCAGGAGTTTGGTTGTTGAGGCCTTGAAAGATCATGATCTGACAGGGAAGGGAGTCCATGATGAGTGGTTGCTCCTTAAGGATGCAGTCCTAAAAGCACAAGGGAAGTCCATTCCAGCCCATAGGTAAGGTAGCAAACGGGCTGGGAGACCCCCTTGGTTCAACAGGAAACTCATGGACCTCTTGAATCTAAAAAGTGAAGCTCATAAGGGACAGAAGTCAGGAAATGCCACTAAGGAGGAGTATGCAGCACTGGCACGCACTTATAGGGAGCGAACCAGAAAGGCCAAGGCTGAAACCAAACTCAAACTGGCTACAGGAATCAAGGACAATAAAAAGTCCTTCTTCAGATAAGTGGGAAGTCAGAAAAAAAACCAAGGGCAACGTTGGACCCCGACAACTGACACCCCGGATAAAGCTAATCTCATCAATGATTACTTTGTGTCAGTTTTCCACCAGCCCACAGGGATCACCCTGCCAGACAGGATGCAGTTACCAGGGTAAGGGCGATCATACACCTATAATTGGTGAGGATCTTGTGAGGGAACACTGAGAGACTGGACAATGACAAGTCAGCTGGCCCAGATAGAATGCACCCAAGAGTGCTAAAAGAGTTGGCTGACATCATAGCACGACCAATGGCAAGGATATTTAAGACCTCATGGTACTTGGGAGAAGTCCCAGAAGATTGGAAGAGGACAAATGTGGTGCTGATCTTCGAGAAAGGAAGGAAGAAGATCCAGGGAACTACAGGCAAATCAGTTTGACCTCAATCCCTGGAAAGATCTAGAAAAAAAAATTATCCAAAAAAGAGTTGGCTGACATCATAGCACGACCAATGGCAAGGATATTTAAGACCTCATGGTACTTGGGAGAAGTCCCAGAAGATTGGAAGAGGACAAATGTGGTGCTGATCTTCGAGAAAGGAAGGAAGAAGATCCAGGGAACTACAGGCAAATCAGTTTGACCTCAATCCCTGGAAAGATCTAGAAAAAAAAATTATCCAAGAA